AATTCAGAAGAAACTTATTCTGCAGTTAATAAGAAACAGACAAGTCCGCAACCATGAACGAAGGGCCTAAGACTCGATTTGGTGTGCAAGAACTAAGCGATTTCAATGATTAAGATATGCAAGCGTACTTTTGTAATCACCTACTTCACAATTTGTTCAGCTAACTTCACTACCACTGCTAATTGTGAGTTAATTTTCCTTCACGCAACAATCCTCTCAAATACCACTCATACTTTGGAAATCACAGATAAATTGCAGAGCATCCTCGATATTACAACGGATAATTAAATCGCTTCAGTAATTAAATCAGTAACTCAAAGCAATAGAGAAACCCGACTTCGTTTGCAAATTTGAAGCTCTACTGAGAATTATTTATTATGTACGGTCAAATACAATTCTATTTACGTGTGACAAAGTTTTGCTCCGGAAACGTCAGGGGTCGAAGGAGCTATTTTTCATTCCGGTTAGAGAGTTTACAGTAACATCATACCAATAGAAGTATTACATAAAAGTTAGAAAATGGAGACAGGATAAATCCAATAATTAAAATTAAAAAAAAAATTACTTACGACGGAAGAAACTATTTACGGTTTTTGAATTCATTACAGGGTTTACAATGTATAAGATGTATTTTTTTGCAAATGAAATATTTTAAATCTGGATTACATTTTACTTCCGAATTCTAGTATTTATCCTTCACCACTATGTAAGTAAATGTGTACATGAAAGCTCCAGCAGCTGCACATCTGCACAAATTGAGAATGAGTTTACTTTCTCAAATACGTATTGTACATAAAATTACATAACTCTCCAAAATCACTGAATTTACCTTAAAGCAGCAAGATAAAATCAACTGTCTTATGCATATCCATGTATTAGTATCTGAAAAAATAGTTATTTATGCGCCAAGGACGTTATAAGGGGTAAAAAAAAAGCGAGAGGCCACAAAAAGGCCGAGAGCGTTTTGTCGCCCGAGGTCAGAAGAACGAGTTAACGCCCGTGGCACGTGAAATATTTTATTTTTTACCTAGTTTTAATGATTCAGATTTACTAATTAACTAGATGTTAACTTGAGTAGTTTTGTCTTTTCATTATTTTCCTCCCATAATTCATGTCATAAGATAACATGTAACATCATTCAACTTTTTTCATTTTCCCCCTCGTAACCACGACCTCGATGCCGGTAATTTAAGCAGTGTATAAGAGGCTGCTTATGAATGACAATATCAAGCAATAACATATCAGTAAAAAAAACAAAATATTACACACGACATGGAATTAAATAGTTTCGCCGCTAGGAATGAACTTCGCAACATGTCAGGGACTCTCTATTTCTCCCTAGCAAAAGCAACATTCATCCCTTGACGTGTAAATCCCGTAACTTGGGCCACCTGTGTGTGTCCGTCCGTTACTCGCATGGAAGGCGTTATTCGACGGATTCTGAACGGATCATTTTCACGTAATCTCCTAAGCTAAATAAAAACTTCAAATTAATACGAACATATTTTTAAAAAATGTTTAAAGTGTCGCAGACGCCACACCAAGTTAGTAACCTATTAATTTCCAAGAGATGTTTACGTCGCCAAGAAAAATGAAGTAAATAGTGGGATACATTAATGGGATTATAGAAAAAAGCAGGCCCCGAATGAGCCGATGGCAATAAAAGAGCAAACAGTACTTGCGGATTCATTTTAAAATATAACAAAGAATTAATTTTTTGATATTATATGTGATTATTATATGATATTATAAACGTTACATGTAAAGAGAATCCTTACTTCAACAAAATAAGAAAGAAATTGATAAAATGTTAAATGATAAAATAGGCAAATGAAAAAAAATGTAAATATTTAACACTTTGATGTTTTTTTATTTCTTCGAAAATATTCTATGTTTGCTGTGATTCTAAAAGTTCATTGTGAGCTCAGTTTTCATCAATAAAGAAAGGAAAATTAAATTATCTACACACCTCTTTTATGAGAAATAAAAAAATCTATTTTAAAATCCTACTGATTTGTTAAATACACCGCTTCGTTTATTCCATGAAAATATCGTCACTGAAGTTGCATCAGCTGTAGAGATACATCAAAATTTCTTAATACTGTTTCAGTACAGTTTATATATTCATTGATTTCCTTTAACAGAAAAATATAAGACCTTCCTACGTTTACGTACGTGGTGTACCCAATCTTCTTCCGCGGCCTTCAGCAAAGCAAGAAAAAAGCAGGCAGCAACTAAAATGTATAATAACCCTGGTGAAACGCAATTTAACAGTGATTTATATAACAAGGGGTTTAAGTACAGCTTTATTCACGAGGGAGAACAGTTGTGTCTCGAGCTCGAAAGAGCGAGGGACATAATACTCCCGAGTGAAAAAAGCTCGAGTAAACCCCGTGTCGTATAAAATACTTCATTTCTAAACATTTCTTTGTGTGCACACCTATGGCATAAAGGAGGAAGTGGTACGGTAGACAGCGGGTACCCTTCTGGTGGTGACCTTTACGAAGGCTACTAGCCAAAAAACAGACTTTTAGAAGCCTTGAATTTTACAGCTCAGAAATAAACTTGCGACAATTCGTATTCACTGTCGATAATTAGTTTTTACGTTACGTACATACTCAATAACTTACGTAACTATATATATATATATATAAATAAATAAAATATATATAATCTTAGAATTACGGTATACCCAAAATTTGTTTCTTTCTCAGATTGTAATGAATGATAATGGAAGTTGCCAGTAGGTGTGGTTACTTTAATCTAGGAGGGATTAAAGTTCCCCTTAAAGTTCCACTTTAATCCCGGGAGGAATAAAGTGACATTTTAACATGCGAAAAATTGTGATTAAAGCAGCACTTTAATCACGTTTAAAAATAAACAAAATTATTACCGCACTTAATGTCTGAAATTTAATACGTTTTTTTATTGAAAAGGTATTTAAGTTTAGCACACGGCAAGACAGTGATGAAGGGAACTATTCCGTTCAATTTCCCCACTTCAATTCCGAAACTGGACGCCAGCGTCCGCGGCGTGGCGTCGCACGGCAGGCGCCGGAGGCCCCAGTCGTCGCCCCACGTCGTCGCGCCGCGCAGCGAAGCCGCTCCAGAGGCGATCGCCCGCCTTTCGCGCCGGGTTAAAAATACGAGTCACCCGAAACCACGCGGCCCACGCCAACTACTCCGCCGGCGGAACGCGCTCCCGAGCCCGCGCGCGCGCCCGCGCCCGGCGACACTTCAGCGGTTAGGCCAATGAAGTGGCACCGACGCCGGATGCTTACAAAAAATCACTGCTATTAATTACCGAGAAACTTCCAGTTTTCCAGGGTTTCAGCTTTTGGCAACATTAAAAAATGCTTTCCCTACGTACGGCTCGAATAAAACATCGTATATCTCTCCGATTTATTATTAAATACACCATTAATTTTGTAATGATCTGTTATTCAAGTTATTTACGACCAGCAAAACTCATTTTAAGGTGTTATAAATATTGTTGATCTGTCGCGTTTCACCAAATCTTCACAATATCGCAAGGAATTTTATTTTCTCGATTATGTAGTTCAGAGAACGTACTGCAACCGTTATGAGAATCGATGTCCATATTTGGACATACACACAAGAAGAAAACAAATGTTTTTCACACTAGCGGATCCACCAGTTCCTAAACTACGCAGATTATTTTCGGTAATAATTATTCTGTTCTTGTTCTGGAATAACTTTAACCCATAGAGCATGACATGTTTCTTTAGTACTTTTGACAAACACCTCAACGTGATGCTCATTCACAGCTTTCAATATTTTCTCAAAAAGTCTCTTCAAATATGTTCTTAAATATTTTTGTCAAATATAGCCTGCACACATATGATAAAACTCTCACCATTCCGAATATTTGAAAAATAACAATCTTAATTTTCTTTTTCAATCTATTCCAATAGAATTTGCTATTCTCCTTTCACAATCTAGCTGAGAAATAAGGTATTAGTCGGGCGACGGAACAGGCGTTTTGAATTTAGCACGAGGCTTCTTTTTAAGCTTGAGGATCTTCTACTTGCATTAAATCTAAAACATGAGACAGCAGGCTTTACTTCCCCTCCCAAAGGAAGACGTACGGAGGATTTTTTCCTCCCTAAAATTCGATCGGCTTTCAACTCGTGATTATCGGTATAAAGGCCTATTCACAATGCAAACGTAAACATAAGCATAACGCATAGACGAAAACATTAACATAAGTGACAGACTGAAGTATTCACAATGTCTAAAATAAACGTAAGCAAAATAAGAGTTTCGATTGGTTGTGAGACATTCTAGTTTACTACTGGTTGGATGCGAGAATCGATTTTGAGATATCGAGTGTGTCCCTGGCCCATACGGCGTTAGTTCGTCTATCGACGAGGCTCTTTTTCGATTCTCGATTTTGAGTTACCGTTCTGTGATTGGTTCATTTTTTATGTCTTACTGAAGCATAAGCACAGAAGCCTGAAGCTTGCAAGCTTTTAAGTTAACGTCTTACGTGTTATGCTTATTCAAACGCATTGTGTGCGAGTCCGCTTGTGGACGTAGTCCTAACTTTTACGTTAACGCCAGGCTTATGTTTACGTTAGCATTGTGAACGGGCCTTAACAGTCCAATACACTAACTGGTACCCCACCGAAGCCACTAACTTCCTTTCCTCCAGTATTGAATATCACGTTCACCGCGGGCTCCAATAACTCTTCGCTTGCCACTCGAGTGCTTTGACATTTAGCGTAGCTTCATGTTGCGCCAGAAGAAACGAAGTGCTTCAGATAGCGCGACGGTCGTGTGAAGCGTCCCACGCCCGGCCCGGCCGCTTCTCTCTCGCGCCCAGCCTCCAACGCACGCACGCACGCGCAGCCAGGAGAAAGCCCGCCCTCTCCGCGCGACGCCACCTGCTCCTGTGCAGTTCGTACGAGCGTCCACTGCTGTCCTCATTAAGGTCCAACCTGTCCTAATTAAAGCGACATTTTCTTTTTGCTGAAACACCAACAGGCTCCACTGATTTATTAATAACAAAATATGATACTTCCGTAACCCCAAAAAATATAGTTTTATTACAATAACTTCTTCCTTCTTCTACTACTTCTTCTTCTTCTTCTCCCTCTCCTATTACAACTGCTTCTTTTCCTTCTTTTCCTTCTTCTCCTTCTTCTACTACTGCTTCTACTTCTCCTTCATTTGGCGTTACAATTCGATGTGGAACTTTGCCTGCTCAAGTATTTTACTCCACTCCTTTCTGTCTCTAGCTTGTTTCTTCCTGTTCTTAATGTCCAAGTTTTAGGTCCTTCGCACGTCGTTTTCCCATCTGATTCTCGGCCTTCCTTTTTTTTCGAGTAGTTAGGGACTTCGTTGATTTGTTTAGTACCTCTGTTCGCTTCCATTCTTTCTAGTTGCCCAAGCCAAGCTATCCTTCTGGATTTTACATTCCTTACAATGTTTTTATGTTGTATTAAGGTTTCTAATTCATCATTTGTTTTTATTATAATAACTGGATTAATTAACGTTTAACAACCTACACGTGTATGTTTTATATTTTCTCTTACACCTTGAAATGCTAACGAATAACACAAAGCACTGTAACATTCTTGACTATACTGACACACTTTTTTGTCACTACATTGACAATATTGGCTTTAATGTTGGAAGAAAAATCGAAGGAAGTTCTCTAAGTGAAGGTAGAAAAACCTGCTTCACAGTCTTGACTTCACGACATTCATACCAGAGAAAGGCGACCCACATGCATATCTGTGCTGCAAACGCGCAACGGGCCGCATTGCAATTAAAACGAGTTATTTGCGTGCTGCGGATTGAAGACCTTGCAGTAGATGAACTGCATGATTTCAAAGTCCATGTTAACAAATGCATTCTTCGAATCGCTTTTGTAGCGAGAATACAAAAAGGGGAAGAAAAGAATTGTCTTGTGTGAACCTTAACGCAAATTATTTGGGGGAATGAACGCATTTGATAAATTATAGATTAAAATACGCATCAAGAATTAGCGTAGGTCGCGTTTTCGTTCACTACCTGAATTTCCGACATTTTCAAAAGTTCAATTTTTTTCGGCATCTTCCTACAACTGCAGTTATAAAGAAAGACATCTCCTTATCAACAATATTATGCTCATCAAAAACAGATGTTCGAATAAGGTTATCTTCGATTTTTTGGACAAGTAGTTTTTGCGGAATGTGCGTCAACATTTCTTAAACAATTAAAGCACTTATTTTCTTAAACAATTAAAGCACTTATTTTCTCAAAAAAGGCTCGAAAATTTCCTTTAACACTCAATGTTTAACAACAAACTTCAAAATGTTTTCGGCGTCTTGCTTCATCTACAATGTTGAAGACAAATTGCTTTTCTTAGTAATATCTGCTCATCAAAAATAATCTTCAATTAAGTTCATGTGCAATTTTTCGAAAGTATGGATAGTTTTTACCCAATTTCACGTGAACAAGGCAATTTTGAAACTATTTTACAGATTTATTTTCACAAAAATGGCTTCAATTTGTATGTATTGTACGTATGTACGTTAAAAAATGAGTAGTTCGGCGTATTTGTCAAAATTATACTGGCGACTTGCCAATTTATAATTTTGCATTTATAAGTTCGGATTTTCCGCACCTCTCTTGTTCGAATGTTTAGTGGCAGGTTGGAACACTTGGTTCTGCGACATGGGAGTTTGAAATTCCGAGAATTCCTTCCAATGGTTCGGTGGTGTAGTTTCATGAAACGCAGTTTTAATTGTCAAATTTGTGTTGATATTTTAGATTTAAAAGAATTATTTTCGCACCGAATGTTCTACGTTTTGTAATGCGTTTTACAAGACATGACTGACATGTGTTAATATGGACAGAGATTGCTGTATTAAAATACTATGCAACCGTTACTAAGTGCGACAAGTTTTAATTTCACAAAAAGATTGTTCGTTAAATACACATTAAAAATTTGAAACGAACGTTCGTTTCCAAATGATTCACCTTACATTACAATGGATCTCAGAAAAGGGCTTGCGTTAAGTGAAAAACGAATTCACTTTTTACCTAGTTCACTCTATAAAAACATTCGATGCAGAAATATAAAATATTATTCATTTATTTCAGAATCACATCTTCGACGTCTTCTACAACACTTACTTTACGTAATATAACTAGTGGTGCTAAAACAGTACGTACTTCATGCAAAATTATGCGAAAAGTACTCAAATTTTCGAAAAACTTTCGATGACTTTATAACAAAACCTATCTTTAAGGAACAGATTTCATGAAAGGAAAAGTGCATTTTCATAATTGTTGTGGGTCGAAAAATTGTGAATTTTTGAAAAATAAGAGTTTTCAACGTACATGAAACCTGAACTATTATCTTAAACGCAGTCTACACAATCTAATAAAATAATTTAATCGAAAATAATGGAGCCATTGTTTTGAAAAATTTCAAAATCAAGGGTCTGCGACACCCGCCAGATCAATTGAGGAATATCAATTTTGGAGAAAATAGGTTGAACGGCTAGCGTTATTCATTATCGGACGGACCGTCGTTTTGCCGTCATTCGATTTTTCGGTATCAAGGACTCTCAAAACATGGATTCTGGCTGCACTACGGTGTATTTTCCAGAAATATTGGAATGTTGCGAAAACCAACAAAATGGGATCTGGAAACTCGGGTGCTCAAACGGGGAATTTTCGTGAAAAAATTGTGAAATAAGTCATAATTATGAAAAAAGAGATTTTAATGTTGTACCTTCGTTTGATCTGGACTCTATATCTATCAACGCGTGATGAATGAAGATGTAATTATGGTTTAAAAGTTCGTGAAGTGCGAATTTCTGGGAGAAAAGAGGGTTAAAATGGTGGAAAAATAACGAAAACATAAATGTGAGCCTGGAACTACCCTTTTATACTATTTCTCCACGAACTAGTAACGCAGCACGGTGACAATTTACACGTATCAGAGAAGTATAGCGTTTTGGAATTGCTTGGGAGCATTTGGGAATGTTCACATGCACCACGAGAGAAACTTCCTTCTCAATAATGCTTACCTTTAAGAAGCAAGGTGGAATTAGTTACCCAGATTCACCGCCATTAATTCCAGACGTATTTAATTTATATTCTTCCTATTCAGATTGATAACTTCTGGGGCCATGATTCCCGTCTAAGGTAAAGACCATGGCCGCATAATAATGGATAGGCAAGAGAAGGTTTCTTCATTTGCAATCATCATCACGCCATGGCCAGTTGGACTCAAGGCCCAAAACGGATGGCTCGTCACGTGGTTGACACGTACGGCAACACGTCTAATGCACGCGTAGAAATATTGAGTAGCGGCGACATTAGCATTAACCAATTGTTTGTGAAACAGAATAACACTAAAGCACTTACACAATCATTAAAGACTCACAAAAACTGAGAAAATTTATTTCTATCAACATTTAATATTAAAACGTAAATAAACTGCAAAACCGAAATAAACTGAAAAAAATAAATAAACATGGTGGGAACTAGCTTGGCGCAGCGAGGCAGCTCGTCTGTTTATGCTTTCGTTACTACCCGCATCTCAATATTATCTTTCGTCACAAATCAAACTGGTGATGGTATAACAGCGACAGACGTTCTCGTGTTCCTCAGTAACAGTTATTTAAAAACCGTATTTATCTTGAAAAATACTGTTGTTAAAACTGTATTGTATGTTTAATCTTGTACAAATATTTCCGTCTTCCACTGAATACCTACAAAAAATTGTTTGTGGCATTACGCAAAATATCGATTCAATTTAGAATTGATGTCGAAAAGAAAACAGAACCGTTTGTATTGTGACGTCATGGATACTCACAGCGACCACAGACACAGAGCTTTCGTATAACAATATATTTATTAACAAAGAAAACAAAACAAATATATACACTTAATAATCTACTTACACCCTAGCTCTGATAGACCTACTATCCCCTGATCGCGGGAGCGATCCAAACCCGGTTGAAGATCGTTTTGATTGTGGCATTCGCCACTCCTACTTTTGAAGCGCGCACAAAGCCTAGCTTCCGTGACCGGATGTCACGCTGGGACACAAAGTCCGTTCTGGCGCACCAACGGTTGGTTTGCCTCGATCGCAGGAGCGATCTTATCCGATTGAGAATCGGCGTGAATCGTGGCACTCAACCACTCTTCACCTCGGAGCACGCACACAGCATCGCTCCCCCCTGACCGCAGTCACCCAAGGACCTAAAGTCCGAAGGCTTCGTCAACTAGTGACTCGAGCCTCGCGAGCTTGGCTCGCATATGCACCGTCGTGACGCCAAGTTTTGTGCACACGCACGAGGTTCTCCCACTGTCTCCAGAACCCACCCACTGGCCCTGTACACTCTGTTATATAGGCGAGGCCCACGTGACCTACTACGTCACGCCACCCCCTCGCTTGTTATAACAGTGAAAAGCTTCTGTAAGCCGGAAACTCCCAAAGCCTTGTGTCTCCCGTTTCCGCGTTCTTCCCTTTACGGAAAAACCTTTCTACCTGTGGCAAGGCTAATCCTCTGCCAAGCGTCCGCAAATAGATGCCACGAGGCACGCTGGCTAATACGTTACAGTATAAATAGCATTTTACTAACATATTACTTTCACCAGTCTTGCCCCTTCGCATTATTTTTACAACTTTGAAATTCATTGCGGAGCATGCGCTTTTTCATTCCATTCCCTTCAGATTTAGTTTCAAACCAGAGGCCAATTTATCAGCTCCGCGATGGGCTTCGACGGTTCGCACTAATGCTCCGACTGGACCCGGACACCTGAAAACAACGCTCCGCAAGAAAATCTCCCTAATATAGAGAGCTTTTTGTAAGAAGGAACCGCTCCGACACCTACTGCTTGGTCATTGATGGCAATATGAATGCAAGTTCGGCTATGCACTCATTTTGCCTGTGCGTTAGTTTACTGTTAGCTCATTTGGCTTCATCCCTATCTTTTGCATTGTCATCGCCGTGCATGATGTGAATTAGTTTCCCGGCTTGTCCAAGTGGTCCCTTCTGAGAGTAGTTCCTCTGTAGCATGTGTGGTCGCCCCGACTGAATCCCAGTATCAGTTCTCTTGTCCAAGCCCAAATACTAGCAGCAGGGGAAACGGCGGTGGCTTAGGACATTACAGACGTCACT